CCATTTTCCCAGATTTTTCCCATTTTTTCCCCATTTTCCCAAATTTTTCTCCAGATTTTCCCAGATTTTTCCTCATTTGTCCCAGAATTCCCCCCATTTTTCCCACATTTCCCGGATTTTTCCCATTTTCCCCCAGATTTTTCCCCATTTTTCCCAGATTTTCCCGGATCTTTCCCCATTTTTCCCCATTTTTTCCTCATTTTTTCCACATTTCCCCAGATTTTTCCCCATTTTTCCCAGAACATTTTCCCCCATTTTTCCCCATTACCCCGGATTTTTCCCACATTTTTCCTGGAATTTCCTGCGGTTTTCCCCATTTTCCCACATTTTCCCAGATTTTTCCTCATTTTCCTGTATCATAAAGTCTGTTCAATCACTGTACATCCTTTTCCACTTCTGAGATTTTCCCCATTCTGATTCCTGGTCCTTCACAAATAAGGGCAATGCGGTACCATTGTACTTTATAAAGAAAAAATCGAATGTTTGATTTTTTAATGGATGGCTGTAATAGAACTGGGTATGACTTTTTAAAAGTTTATATTTTCTGTTTGTTGGTGTGTAGGGCTCTGGGCTTTGGGCACAGCAGGGGCTACAAGTCCACCAGCCCAGGGGCTGCCCTGTGCTGGCTCCAGTCGGTTCTGCTGTTGATGGGGTGTCGGGTGTAGCCCTTTATGACACAGGCACATTTCAGGGCCCTTTGTGATGTGGGACATTTTGGTGCCCAGAGGGCCTTGGGACATCACCAGAGCCCTGCCCTGCCCAAGGAGTATATAAAGGAGCAGGGAGCTTAGCCCAATCCCAGGAAATCCACTCTCTCAAGAGGAAGTAGTTCACTGGATTTCTCTCTGCAGGAGACAACGACAGAGATGGACAAGAAGAGCATGGAGATGGAGAAGGGGAAGGGAACCCCAACTCCTAGCCTGCCCTGATGTATTCATGCTTAATTAGATGCTGCTATTTTTTGGTCTGTGTTTGGCCCAGCCACTTGTGAGAGTCTGTTCTTTTCCTGCCAAGTTACGAGAAAACAAGTACTGACAAATGAAAACTTTGTCCTTGAAGGAAGGCATCTTTATAAACTGAAATTAATTGGTACCTCACTATTAGCTGATGGCCCTTCAAGGGCATTTGAAGAAGAAAGTGAAGAGGAGGGTGATGAAGTACGCCCCCAGACTCATTTAGGAAAGACCCCCCCAAGGTGCAGCACACAGGCATGGGGAAATGCAGAGTACCCACACATGCGCAGAAGAGATGCCACTTGTATAACGGAGGGAGGGACTGAAGGCCTCTAGCTGGGCAGTGCTGGCCACACCTGCCCAGGTAGACATCACCAATTAATTGCATAAAAAGCAGAGTGCTGGGAGTGGAACTCAAGCTTCACATTGAAGGACAACATTACCTTTTGTGGGAACGCCCGCCGTCTTGTGAGCCTGCCGACACTCTGAGGATGCAGCTTCTGCTACGTGTAATTCTAGGCATTCTGGGGTCAGTAAGATAACTTTGTAAGCAACACCTGAGTTAGTGGGGGAGTCATACTGAGGGCTTATTTTCCTCCTCCTCCCTCTCTTGGGTTTTTGTTTTGTTGGCTACTTTTTTGGTAATACTGTTGAGCTTTCAACGGTGTATGGTTTCAGTTCGGCATCCTCCCTCCCTGCTACACCCGGGCCCATGGTTGGGCCTGCAGGTGAGGCCAAGTGGACATCCCATCGGTCAGAGTGATGCAGCTGGATCGATGCAGAAATCAGGATTAACATCAAGATAGATCAACACTGGAACCAGAATTTCTCTCTCTCTCTCTCTCTCTCTTTTTCTCCCTGCCCTATGCTTTTAGAGTGGGTTTGGGACTTTTCCAGTCATGCCCGTCTGTTCCTGGTCCATGTCGGGAGCAAGGCGAGTGTTGGCAGCATTGATAATCACAGGATATTCTGAGTTGGGAGGGACCCACAAGGATCATCCAAGTCCCAACTCCTGGCCCAGCACAAGTCACCCCAACAATCCCACCATTTCCCTGACAGTGTTGTCTAAACGCTCCTTGAGCTCTGGCAGCCTTGGTGCTGTGACCACTGCCCTGGGCAGCCTGTTCAGTGCCCAACCACCCTTTGGGGGAAGAACCTTTTCCTAATATCCAACCTAAACCTCCCCTGACACAGCTCCAGCCATTCCCTCGAGTCCTGTCACTGGGTCACACAGAGCAGAGATTGCTGCCTGAGGGAAGAGAGACTCACCTAGAGATTTCCTGACACCATCTCACTCTTGTCCAGCACTTCTCAAGAACGTGACAGCACACAGGGAAACTTTTAAAAACCTGGATTTATTCTTGCATCACTTCACTTGCATAACCAGCATATAATTTTTGTCCAATATTGCTCAACCTAAACCTGGCAGGTGCCCCTGTGGTGACTGAGGCTGGGAACTGCCCAGTTCCTCACACAGGGGGACACATTTAGGACCTTTGCTTAACTGGATCTTATCTGTAAATATTTCTTTTTTTTTTAAGAAACAAAGAAGAAACTACACCATTTATTTAGCAGCAAAAAGTGCACTAAATAGTAACACTACTAGTGGGGAGGGAAATTTCATAGTTTCAGGTATTAACATTGACAAAATAATGCAAATGCCTTTTTTTATTGACACTTGACCTCGACTAAGTAGAAGGTTCCCATCCCTTGATCATCTCAAGGATGAAGGAAATGCAAAAAATCTGTTCCCAGATGTTCCCCTGAGGAATTAAAAACAATTAAGAATAAGCTTAAAACTTTACCAAAGGATAATTAAAATGCTCCCACTCTGCCACAGACCCTGTTAGATGAGGGAAATATGCTAAGGGAACCAGAAAGATGCTCTGGTTTGCCTGTGGGAGAGATGCAGTGGTGCTGACTGGCACACTGAGGTCAGGAAACATTCCCAAGTCCTCCAGTCCTCTCCACAGCCCCTACACCCCTTTGTCTGTCACTGCTGCAGGAGGATAACAATGCTTCAGGCAAGGAAGGAGAATGAGAATGAGAGTGACTGTTACAAACTTCTAGCACTCAAATCAGTGGGGTGATGCAGGGATCTAAATTCCTCTTCAGTAACTTGAGGACTGGAATAGGGGAATTCTGCACAAGCTGTTACCAGCACCAAAGCCTTCCTGGAAAACCTGCCACAGATTCTGTGACTGCCCTGTCCATGGAAGTGTTCAAGGCCAAGTTGGATGGGACTTGGAGCAACCTGGTCTAGTGGAAGGTGTCCCTGCCCCTGCATGGGGCTGGAATGAGATGACATTAAAGGTTCCTTCCAACCTTCTACAAATCATCCCAGAAGGGCAGGGTAACCCAGGTTCTTGTTAATAAATCCCTTTGGGTGGGCTACAGTGAAACAGTGTTTGTAAATATACATATGTAGGGTTTATTTTAGAACAATTTTGTTTCAAAAGCAAACAGGTATGTTGCCATTTTGGGTGTTATCATCTATAGTAGTACAATATTAAAGCATGTTAAAGTAGGCAATATTAAAGCATAAAAATAATACTTGAGGAAATGTATAAGGAAAGGAAGAGAAAGGAAGGATAAAAGTGGAAAGGTGTATATATAGTCACCACCTGCTGAATCCAGCAATGAAACTTGGTAGGGGGATTCCAGGGGAAAGGGGGGGCTGCTGGGGATACCGATGTGGCTCCCACATCCAGCACAACATCCCTGTGGGTCCAGTACCTATCACGATATCCCCTGTCTGTGACAGGATCAAGCTACCCATTCCCAAATTCTCCAGAATTTCAGGGTCACTTTTGCAACCCAATGAACTGTCCCAACCCCCATACCCATTCCCCAGATTCAAAACCCAAAATCTGCTTTTTTTTGAGCCCATCCCTTCCCATGGGAAGCTCCGTCAGGGGTTTCTCAGGAAAACATGAAGAAGCCACTTCGAGTTTGAAAAGGAAGATTTTTGGGACAAAACCTTTAATTTGTCTAGCAATAAGAGCCCTTGTAACTCTCTCTTTTTAACGATATTTTTTTTAAGGAAGAAACCCATTTTATTTGCCTTATTTTAATTTTTAAAAATCCTCATTCCTTAATTACTACCTTTTTTTCAGCAAAAAAACTGTTATTATCTCTAGTAAGAAAAAAAGTTTATTTATTTCTTCTTTAATAAAAAAACTCCACCTTTATTTCAATTTTGATATCCCTCCAAACCTTATTATTCCTTATTTTTCCCCAGAACATCCTTATTCCCTGGGGCTTTTTAATGAAAAACCACTTCATCTCCTGCTTTTTTAGACATATTTTTTTTAAATCAAAGAGTCCTTATCACCTTTTCGTTGGTTTAGGTGTTTTTTTCCCAGCAGAAGCCCTAATTTTTCTCCATTGTTCCTTGGGTTTGTTGGATTTTTAACTAAGAATAAAAAAAAAAAACCTTAAGTTTTTTTGGGTTAAAAAATAGCATTCTGGGTGGGAAAAGCCCTTAATCCCTGAAATTTCATAGACGATAAAGCCCATAAAAATGATTTATGATTCTTTTTAAATAGCTATTATTTGTGTATTTTTATATATTTATATCTGTTATTGTCTATGATTATCTGTAGGACCACAGCCCAGCTCAGCAGCAATGACACCTGGTGACACCTGGTAACAGCTGAGGTGAGCCAGGAGAGGCCCTTACTTCCTCAATCCCTTCCCCGCTCCCCTGATGTGCCATCTCCCTGCTGATGTCATAACACACCTTCCCAGGCCGCTGGTGATGTCACAAAGTGGTGCCCCACATCACTGGGTGCACTCCACAACGAGGACTGGGGGCTGCTGGGCCCTGCCCGGAGCCGGGAGGGGGGATCAGGGGGTTGTTTTTAGGGCTGTGGGGGTTGTTCTGGCCCTTGGGGACAAGCAGGGCAGGGGTCATCAGACAGGAATTTGAGGAGCAGGATGGAGGGGTGCTGCACTGTCAGCATCAACAGGAAGCAGAGTTGCTTGTTCCCCACACTCCTGCAGCTCTCCACTGAGGGTGAAGATTTGGGGAGCTCCCTGAGGGCTGGTGGAACAGTTGGACAGGGTTGGGGCTGCCTCGAGGCTCCTGTGAGCACGGCGTGTCCCCCATCCAGGACCAGCTTCCAGTGGGAGCTGGCACTTCTCACAGTTCTGGTTCTGGAGTGAAAAGGGGTCTGGGGTCCTGGGGCATGGGAGGTCCAACAGCTCTCACTGGGTTCTCAGGAGCTGGTTGGGCATCAGCCCTTTAACTAGTCTCCTTTGGGAGACCTTCTGGTTCTTCCTATAGGATCCTCTCGTGACATCAACCTGGGTTTTGGGGTGCCATCTCTTTTTGGGGGTTGGATGATCACAGCCCTGGTCCTGAGCCCTTCCCACATCCCCAGTTCTGCCCCAGCCCTGCTCAGTGAGCAGAGGGAGGCAGAACCTGGGGAACAGCCAGGTTCTTTATGAGACCCATCTGTCACTTCCCGGATGTCACTTCCAAGATGCCGCATGTGAAACCTGATGCCTCTTTCTGGTACTTTCCAGAGGTGGTGGCCATCTGGGATGTCGTGTCTGTGTACATCCTGGGGCAGATGAAGCAGGACAAGGTGGGCTGGCATCTTGGTCCCCTGTAGTCCCCCCTCCCTGAGCATCACGGCACCACCCCAAGAGAACCCCATGTGCCTCAAGCTTCCAGGACTGGAGAAACTCAGGATCATGCTGGGTCTATGCCAAGGACAATCCCCAGGAATCATTTCCTGGGTTTGAATTCCTTGGGATCTTCTTTAGCCAAGGAATTTTGGCAAATCATTTGAAGAGGGGAAGTAAGAAAATGGAGAATGTGGGTTTTTCATTTTTCCCACAGTTTTAACATTTCTTATCTCCAAAGTATTCACTCAGCTGTTTTGTCTTCTTCCTGGGCAGGGTGTCCTGGTCCCAGGACTAGGGACCTTTGCTGTGGTCCCTGAGCAAGCTGATGGTGCAGAAGAGGTGTGTGTAGTCCGAAGACCTGTGTTCCAGTTGGACATGGATGTGTCCTGTCTGCAGGAGCTGATGTTCCCCACAGTGATGATCCCTGGTGAGAAGGGATCCTGCTTCACATTTGGGAGAGGGGTGTGCCCCTGCTCTTTGGGAGGGGGGGGGAATTGCCTCCAAAGTTGGGGACAAAAACAAATCCCTCTTTCTCTCTGGCATTTTGCAGTGAATTCCATGTGGAAATTTGCTCAGCTGTGGTCATGACAATGCTCATCCTCTTCCTCCTTACAGGTGACATTGAGATCGCACCACTGGATTACTGGTGGCTGTCACAGACCACGTCCCTCTCGCCAGACGTACTGAGGGACTGTGTGGAGGAGACCGTCCTCCTATACTCCTTTCAGCTGAGGGACAGGCAGCGCCTTGCCTTCGCCTTTGGGGACATTGGCGTCCTGTCGTGCCAGGACAATGTCCTGTGCATGCAGTTCCACCGCAGCTGCGTCAAGAAGCTGGAGAACTGGGACACCTGGGTGGCTCTACTGCTCACTGTGAGTTGGAATCTGGGGACATTGATGTGCTGGAGTGTGTCCAAAGAAGGACAGCAGGGCTGGGGAAGGGGCTGAAGCACAAGTCTCATGAGAAGCAGCTGAGGGAGCTGGGATGGCTCAGCCTGGAGAAAAGGAGGCTTAGCAGGGACTGTCTTGCTCTCTGCATCTACCTGAAAGGAAGGTGTAGCCAGGTGCAGGTCAGTCTCTTCTCCCAGATAACAAGTGACTGGACAAATTCCACTAGGATATGTTTAGGTTGGATTTTAGGGAACATTTCTTCATGTAAAGGATTGTCCAGTTGTGGCACAGGCTGCCCAGGGTGGTGGAATCACCATCCCTGGAGGTATTTAAGACGTGTGGATGTGGCATCTGGGGACATGGTTTAGTGGTGTCCTTGGTTGGACTTGATGGTCTCCAGAGTCTCTTCCAACCTTAATGATTCTGTGATTCCACAATCCTAATATTCATGGATGAGGTTTGGGAAAAGGGGGTTGGAGAAGTGGCTCTTAAGGGAGCAGGAGACAGGTCTGCTTCCTCCATGGGAATCTCCTGATGGCTCCATGTCACTCTGCAGAGGCTGTGTGTGCCAGATGCTGGTCTCAGTGATGGAGCGACCGCTGCTGGGGGGATGCAGGCTGCATGGGCTCACTCATTCCCCAGGTGAGTGTGCTTCCTCAGGGGCTTCCCGGTTCCTTTCTATCCTGCAGGGTGTGGGAGTTGCCATTCCTCAAGCCTGTGTCATCATTCGCTTCTGCAGTTGGCCTCAGTGATCCTTGTGGGTCCCTTCCAATTCAGTATGTTGTCATTGTGTGATTCCAGGTTTCAGCTTGCTGTGTCTGAGGCTTTCTCCACCTGGCACACGAAGGTTGCAGAGAAGCACAGGGTCAGAACAGGTATGGGATGGGTCCCTGCTGCTCACCCTCACCCACATGGGGTGATCACAGCCTGGTGATCACTCACCCTCACAGGGCTGTTCCCAAGAGCTGCCTCCTTTCCCAGGGGCACAGGAACATCCTGACAAGTTTTCCCTCCCCATGCTACCAAACCAGAGGCCAGGCATGAGGCAACAAGAGCCAAGGATGAAGCCATCTGCCAGGTGAGACCCTCGTGGGAAGGGATGGGAGGGATCCTTGCACCCCTGGGTGATAGCCTCCTCAGACACTTGGGCTGTAGTGACTCAGGAAGGAGCACGGGAAACAACCCTAGCTCTCTGCTTCTCTCCAACACCTGGGAAGCTTTGGCCCCATAGGAAAACAGGATATCTGTCTGCCCTGTGCTCCTGCTGACTCCTCATGTCTCTGCAGTGTGCTCCCCCTGTCCCCAGGCATCTTTCCTGGAATGGGGGAGACAGGTGGGCAGGAGTCAGCTCCTTCGACCAGGCTCGACACCACACTCCTGGCCTCTGAGAACTGCCAGAAAGCACTGCAGGTATGTGCCAGATGGATCAGACCTGAAGAAAGCTCCTCCAAAGCTGAGCCTAACTGTGCCTGACACCTCCAGGAGGTCTGTCAGCTGTCTGCAGAGTGGGAGCACGGGAATTCCTGCTGGAGAGAGCAGAAGGTGGAATGGGTGGCGTGGGAAGCCTGGGCTGCCAGGGAGGATCAGCAGGTGCCCCAGGTATGGGCAGGGACCCTGTGCGTGAGGGCACCTTGGCTGCCCATAGAACCCTCCCAGAACAGGGGCACGGGGGGTGGAATTGAGGGTCAGGGGGGACCTCAAGGGGATCAGGGAAGGACCTTTGGGGGGTGGGGGAGGGGTCTCTTGCAGGGGTTGGAGATTCCTGGAGGGCTTAGGGTATCTCAGGGGGCTTTGAGGGTCCCTGGGGTGGTTTGGGGGTAATCCCTGGGGATTGGAGGGATCCTGGGGTTTTGGGAGACTCTTCTCAGGGAGATGGGAGTCCCTGGGGACCTGGATGGAGGAGGGTGGTCTCTGAGAGGGTTTGGTATGCCCTGGGGATTGTGAGTATCCTAGGGCTTTGGGGGGATTCTTAGGACTGAAGGAGATGGGACTCCTTGGGGGGAAGTTGGGGGTCACCCAACCACAGAGCAGAGTTTGCCCACTCATTCCCCAAGGGAGAGCTCTGGGAAGCACCATCAGCCATCAGCCGTGGTGTGGTGCGGAGTCTCCCGGTTCCCACCTTTCCAGGGATACTAGGAAGTGTCACCTCTCATTTACTGAAAGCGTCCCCTCCTTGGCAGGTATCTGGCCCTGGAGGTCCTTGGGCTCCCCATCCTTCACTTCAGCCCAAGAGAAAGGGGGTCACTGTGACATGGGGGAGGGTTGGAACCCCCCTCCCTGTGGACGAGATGGTGGAGAGATTCCAGCCTGGGACCAGGTGGGTGAATGCAGGACCAGAGGGGTGGATGTGGGACCAGGTGGGCGCAGGCTAGGATGAGGGGAGAGGCAGATGGCAACTCTGGGAGAATGATTTCTTGTTGTTGCAGGCACCTTTCCCCACGAGCCATCCAGGTGCTCCATGCGCTGGAGCCACATCAGACACGGAGGAACATCTTCACGTTTTTGGCTGAGAACAAGCGGCGGCGGCAGGAGCAACAGAAGCAGCTCTACAGGTAACTCCGAAGGGATAGAATTCCCCCCATCCCTCCTCTGAGGCAGCCCTGGGGGACAGAAGTGGGTTTGGAGGCTGCCTTTGGGCTGGAACCCCCTGATGCCCACTTGGACACCCAGTATTGGCTTCCCCTGTAGGACAGAAAAGTCCTGTCTGGAGGCAGAGGGACTCTGATGGCTGGCTGCCTGCTTCCCAAACCCTGAGAGCCCTTCCTTGGTAGAGTTCTACCCCACGACACCTTGTCCTGACCAGGGGCACCTGTACAGGACACCTGTAGGGGACACCCAAGGTCTCAGCCCAACCTGGCTTTGCCCCAGCTGCACCATAGGACCTTCTCATAGGCTGGGAAATCACCAGGGGCATCTCCCACTCCATGGACACCTTGAGGTGATTCCATCCCTGGTGCCTTAGCCAATCCCACAGGAATTCTGTGCCTTCTCCCTGCCTGTATGACCAGACACCTCTCTCTCCCACCTCAGCTCCAGGTGCTCGTCCAGTGGCCAAGGAGCAAGGGCTGGAGTGGTGGCTGCAGTCGTGGCTGGTAGTGACAGGTCTGGGAGGCTGCTCACCTGCTGAGGTCCACCCATGGATACAAAATAAATACTGCTGGGGATGTTCCCACCTGGACTGAGTGGCCTGGGCCTGGTGATGGAGCCATCTAATGGTTAGGACCGTGCTGGCACCATGGCGGTTGGGGAGCTGTGTGGGGGGGACACAGGCTCTTCAGGAAGATGAGGAGGTGTGTTGCCTTCTGCTCAGGGTGGGACTGAGCAGCAGGTAGGCCAAGGTGGGCACCATGTTAGTAGGTACCTGCTAGAGACCTCCTCTACAGGAGGAACAGTAGGTGAGGCTCCTTCACAAGCCCTGATCTTCATGGGGCACATGTACCCCCCTGCTACCTGCCAGGAGGAGAATTCAGACACCTGGGAGATCTCCAGAGTGCATTTCCTGGCACAGGTGATAGGGAATTGAGAGAGAAAGGTGCCTGTGGAGATGCCACCGCTGTGGGATGAACTGGTTTTAACCCACCACTAGGATTAAAACTTAGAGAAGACTAAGAATTCTAGAGTAAAATCCCTGGATGGAATGCAGTCGACATGCTCCCCATACAGTGATAAGCATCTGCTCAGAGGGATGGAGCAGAGACTATGCAGCCCCCTCCATTGAAATCCTGGCAGAAAGAGGGACATTGTGGTACTTTGTTAAGGAGACCGTGCGGTACCTGTCAGCCAAAGGAGATGGATTAAAGTGTTCTGCTGCTGAGTCAACGATCATGTCAAACCCTCTCTTCAAATGCCAAGCCACATCCACCACCCCACCACCCCCATTAGGCACGGCAGGAGAACTTTACACCAATCAGAAATCAAAAAAAAAGTAAGTTGGGAATAGGGGAAAAATTGAGGAAGACTCCAACAAAACCGCTGGGATCAGTCAACAGGCTGAACCTGTCTTCTCCCCTATAGGGACACCTATTGGGTAAGAAACATACTCTATGCACACTAAATGCTGCTTTTATGAATAGAGTTTTTGTTTGTGCTTGCTTTGTAGTACAATAGATTGCTTCAAACACATTTTTGCAGTCAGATGATCCTCAAACCTTATTAACCTGTCACAATTTATTTTAATAAAGAGTGTTATTCCATAAACTCTTAGAGTGAGCCTTTACAGATGCTGGCAGTTGCCAGCAGCAGATAACATGTTGGGAAGGCCAGCTGAGGGGTCTTCATACTGTTGGCTTAACCCCCCTCCCCCAAAAAAGGGCAGTTGAATCACCCTTCAATCTTGTGAATCTGTTCAGTGAAGGGTCTCCCCTTACAAGATGCCAACAGACTGGTCGGACACTGACAGACAAATAAATCACTAAGGGTTGAGAAAATCTCCCCTCTCTAAGGGTTGGGCAAACCCCCTCCCCTTTCACATGACAACCACCCACAGAGTCATTGATGCCTGCTGGGATGTCACTGCCCAAGAAGGTGCCACCATTTGAGTGGAGAGATGGGGGAACACTGGAGGGGGAATCGAGGATCAGTGAGGGAGCACTGGGAGAGGGCACTGGGAAGACTGGGGACCACTAGAAGGTAGGTGCTGGGAAGTGGTGTGGCCCTGGGAGCACTGAGAAGACTGGGGAGCACTGAGGAGGGCACTAGGTGCACTGGGGAGACAGGGAAGCACTGCAGAAAGCTGTTGCTGGCCTTCACCTCCCCTGGGCAGCCCATCATCTGCCCCACCAACACTAGGGCCGGATATTTTCCTTCCCCAGGGAAGGAAGGCACTGTCATCCTCTTTCAGGAGCCCACCTCCCAAATTTGGATACACTTCCAAAATTTAAACATGTCCAGGGGTTGCTCCCACACGATCAGAATCTCTACATGCTGTAGAAGGGCATAAAATCCCTGTGATGCATATGAGAAATGTGTTAGAGAAGAAAGTTTGGATCAGTCCTGCCTCAAGCAAAAGCAAACCCATCCATGGGACTGATTGTTTTTGCACCTAGTGGGTCACGCAGAGGGACAGGGAAACATGATGTGTACCTCAAGGGGATATGATTTTTGGCTGAGAACAGTCTGTAATGTTGAATTGTATAGTATCGGTTGCTGAATGACACTGTCACTGCGTGCCATGACTACCACGGACAATGAAGATGGACTGCTGCAGATACACCAGTTGTGAGCTCCTGATGCAGCTTGCAAACAGTTGACAGCGTACCAACTATCCTGCACTGGAAGAGATCTAGGAGGAGTAGAAGCCACAGCCATGGACTAAATGAACTCAACAGACATCTTGGAGGGATGGCCATTGACTATGGAAATGATACCTGTGCTTGTGTACATATATATAAATGTATATGTATATAATGGGAAGATATAGGATCTGGGCATGACTTAGATGGCATAGAATAAGGGTTAGGCCATGAGCAGCTGCCCTAGTTCTGGCCCAGATCAGTGGGAAGGTATGTGGCCAAGACATTGTGTTATTCAATAACACTCATGTCATTTTCAGGAGTGGGGGAAAGAGATTTTCTCTCACTTCCAAGAAGAAGGGGTGTGGTTTCTGGTCGGGAGCAAGTATGGTGGATGCAGCGGTCTGGCATAGGGTCCTTCCACCACTCTTTAATTGTCCCAGGCTTGCTGAGCATTTTGCATGTAAACCGCCCTCTTTGAACACTTTCTTTATTAGTATTGTTGCTGTTACTGTTCATTTTCTTATCTCGTTGTTTGCAGTAAAATTGTTCTTACAGCAACCTGTAACTTTCACCTTTTCGTACCTCTAGTTCTCATCTCCACCCCTGTAGCTGGAAGGGGGAGCGGAACTGGGGGGAGCAAGGGAGTGGTGTTGGGTTTGGGAATATTTCTGGGGGGGTGTGGCGCACTAAACTGGGTAGTGTCATTCCTAAACCATGAAAACATGTTTCAGACACAAGCTAACAGAATACAGAATCAGTCTCACGCTTGAGAATCCACCTTCCGAATTACACTGTTTCCATCTTGAGGTGGGACTCCCAGCTGGGTCCTACCAGCACATCTGCTCTCACAGTCACCAAGACAAAGACAAGCAAAGTGTAGGGGGCATGTCCCAGGGGCAGAGAAATCAAGGGACATGAGCAGGGACAGACAACCCCATTGGTTAAGAAGGTCACATGGTATCCCGGTATATAGGGAAGCGCCGAATTCAAATAAACTCTCTTTGATTACCACCTCAGAAGAGCATACATCTTTCTTTATCATATAAATGACCACCATGTTACACGTGGCACACCCGAACACGGGACTTAGAACCTATATTAGGATAGTTTAGTATATCCTGAATCAGGCAGAAAACTCGGTAAACCCCGGTTATCGTATCAATTATTTGGATACGGGGTTTTTTTAACCGAAAAAAACCCCCAAGACATCTGTAAATCCGTTGTCTCAGTAGCATATGAGAAACGGGAATTAAAATAGTGAGCTCAAAAATATTAGGGAAAGTGCACAGGAAAAAAGAAGAAGAAAGAAGAAAGAAGAAAAGAAAAAGCTGACAGATCGGGGCAGCCGGAGAGAGCGGAGCGGGGCCAACATTTTGCGGAGAGGTGAGTGAGCTGAGAAAGCGGCGACACCAGCTAATACCGCGGCCGAGGCTGCTCCCTGGGAGACTGCGAGCCCCCGCGGCCTGAAAAACTCGAGCAGTGGAGCACGCCGAACCCTGTAGGGAGCCCCGCCACCCGCCGCCTGCCACGGCTAAGCCATGTGTGCAAAAGCGGCACCGCTGCTGCCTGAAACACCCCCCAGACCACCGCGAGACCCCCGCGAACCCCGCACTGGCTTTCCGCCCAGCGGAAAGCACCGCAGCTCCGCGCAGCCTGCAACCCCTGCCCACGTCCGCCCACCGCCCCTGCCGGCCCCCCCGCCACGTTCAAAACTGCGCGGGACCTGCTGAATCCAAGCCGAACGCGCGCCGCTTCTGCCGCCGCCACTGCCGGAGCCATGCTAGGACCCTGCGTGCCACCCCGCCACCCTTCCCCGGCGCGTGCTGCAGTCTGCAACCGCGGGGAAACAGCCGAGTCACGCATGTGCACCGCCCCCAAGCCGACGGAGCCAGTGGAGAGCCCCATCGGACACAGACGGAGACGCCAAGAGGAAAAAAGCCACGGAGAACCAGGTGATCCAGAAACTGAAAGTAAACTCAGCAGCCAAAGAAAGAACTCCCAGCCGCGTCGGTCTACAGCACCGAGACTACGGTAAACATGGGAGGCTTTGTGTCCATGGAAACCTCACAAGACATTGAAACATTAACTTTACTGCTAAAATCTTACCACATTCAAACTACAAAGGCAGAGTTACCAGAATTAATAAGATTTGTTAGGTCTACACACCCCACACTCCCACTAACAGAAGTTTTACATTTAAACACTGGGACACATTCTAAACCAAAGGACTGAGGCAGGCGACCGCAGAGCTTGCAACATTGTACCAGTTTATACAGGGATAATGTCAGCCCTCCACAAAGCACACGAGCAAACGAAACAATTAACCCACACCTCACCCCCCCACCCCCCACCCCGCTCACACTCCTAGCAGCAGCACAACCCCTAGGCATAGTAACAGAAATATACGAGATGTACTGGGGGGAGAAAAAAGAGCTGTTTGTGAGTTAAGTTGCGGGCTGGGAGCCGAAAGCCACGGGAACATAGGTCGCTGGGAGAGAACAGAGCCCGAAATGCAGAATCCCAAGCCATGGGATCAGCGCACAGAGCTCTGTTACAGTGATGAAGGGGGTAACCCAGCCCCTCTGCCCCCCCACGCTGCGAATGAACAGCGACTGGGCTGTATCTCGGACTGGGTGCAGCCATCCTGCCCGCCAAATGGACTGGAAGCCGATCCGTCTCTTCCGGCCTCAACGTCGCCCCACCCCGCCTATAGACATGAGGGGGAAGAAAGCCCCTCCCCCACACCACCTCCACCACCCAGCACCACCCCCCCACAGGGAACCGGGCTCACTGGAACCACGGGGGGGGAGGCAAAGGGGGATGAGGAGGAGGGAGCACGGATGGTTCCAGCAGGAGGGAGTGAGGAGGCAAACAGGGGAAGGTCAGTGTGCTGGTTTAAGAGTTAACCAGCAGGGGAAATGAACTCAACTCAAAGGAGAGATTAT